AGATAGATAGATAGATAGAAAGAAAGAAAGAAAGAGATAGCTTTATTAGTTACATCATTGCAGCTTCCGGGCTGGCTGAATTGCGATATACTTTACAATTAAAAACAAATATTAAAACAAGAGGCGTGTCGCAACCTTTTTGCATATATCTTCTATATGCCCGTTCCACCTAAGATCGTCTGAAACGGTTACTCCTAACAGCGTTGCGCATGAAACAACTTCGATATCCTTATCCCTGATTAATTATAACTGGCTCTACTAATCTAATTAATCTAGAGAATGATATTAAGCTATTTGTATTTCGACTCGTTGAGCTGAAAACCGTCGGTGCCGATCTTCTGCATTAGGTTATGTATGCGTAACTGCGTAGAGCTGACTACTTTCTTCATTTCTACCTCAGCGAGGGTAATATCACCCTCGTACTTCCAGAGGGTTGTAGGAAAAATTAGCTGAGAACTGAAGGTTGGAGAAGTAATACTATATGGTTGGTTTCTTTTAATCCTAGTTCCCCCAAGGATTGTTGAAAAGCCTAAAAGTATAACTATACTAGAAGGCAGAAATCTTAAGTTGAAATGCGTAGTTGAAGGGAAGCCAAAACCAACAATAAAGTGGTTGAAAGACAACCAGACATTGGAGGGGAACTCAACCAAATATTTCACGAAACCTGGAATCAAGCGGCAAGACGCTGGACATTACCAATGCGTTGCAGAAAACAAAGTGGGAAGGATAGTATCCGAGCCTAAAGCCATAGTAGACGTGCAATGTAAGCTTAAATGTATTTATTTATGTACTAAGATCAGGAATGTAGGACATCGACAACATTTTGTTTAAAAATAATATAATTATTATAAGATAATATATTTATTATACTAAGTCCAAACGCTATCAGTGATTTGATCTACTAATTTTGCAACTTTTAACCTACAGATCCACCAGTCATCAATTCCTCAAAGAAAATCAACATAATTCCTGTGCCAATCGGAACAGACRTGTGGCTTTCCTGYCGYACTGTAGCAAATCCTCCAGCATCTGTYCKGTGGTTTGCCARTGGAATTCTAGTGAAACGCAACGCCGAGGTTTTCCACTTAAAAGTTTCCAGTTCTTTTGATTATGCGAACTACACTTGTGTTGCTAATAATCCATTTGGTCAAGACAATAAAACTTTTGTCTTAACACAAGTTGGTAGGTAGTTTATTGTCCCTAGAATATCATGCAAACTGTATACATACTACGGGCATGCGCAGTTGTTTTATCTCATTTCCCCAAGGTACTACCTTTAGTGACTCTTGTTCTTCCCATTCTGTTGACCAAATTGCAAGCTGCCCACGTTTTCATTTAATATTCGGTTAGCGTAACTTTAAAATGGTATTTCTGTTACAGGGCCACCCTCGAACCCACAAGTTGACTGCGATAAAAAGGGCGACGCCAGCCTGGATCTTACATTTATTTTCCATTGGAGTTCGCCCAAGAAAAGTGGAGGAGCCCCTGTGTTCTTGTACACCATCAAACACCGCTCCTTTGTCAASGCGTCACAAAGAAATACACAGGCCTGGAAGAGTATAAATGTTACACACAAGAGAACCTGGTATAAGTTTAAACTGAAGTGGCAAAGGACTTTTGAGTATACAATCACGGCCTGGAACAAGTACGGGGAGAGCACACTTGATATTGATAACACTTGTCTTATTACAGTTGGAAAAGGTAAATAATTATTTAAGTACACGATATACCCTTTTCGATGTGTGGCATTAAAAAAAATATCGTAAAAGCGTTTTATTTGGTTGTGACGACGCATAATAACTTTTAGATGCTACAAATGATGATTCCTAAAACATTTGGCACGCATACAAATCTTCCAGACTATTATTGAATCTTTATGTCGAACCCTAAAACAACCTCTGGGCTGATGATCAAAGGCAGGGCACGTACGGCTCACCCATATATCGATTTGATTTTGATTCTTTGCTTTGTCTTTTTTTTTTTTTTTAGTCTTCTAACTTTTTTAAATATATATATTTTTTATGTTTGGTGCCTTCCCTTTCCGTTTATGTTTTTGCATTTGTTTCCACAAATCATGCTTTCAAGTAACTCATGCACAATTTACTATTCTAGACACCCGCATCTTTACAATAATGCCGACACAAGACATAGTAGCAGGTAAGGGACGACAAAAACTCATAATTTTTTTAATAATTTAGCAATATAGCCTGTTTTATATTTCTACAACATTACCAACCCTAAAACGTCTGTATTTTTAGCCTCCGCAATCAAGTTTACGACGGGCCAAGTGCATTTCTAGTCATTACGCTCGTGAGCTATAAAAATATTTTCGCTCCACTGGACAGGCTATTTCCCAAAAACCGTTCTCGCAATGGCTGACAAGTGCATAAAAACGAGATCACCCAGTAACTAGTTCACAATAGAATTTATAAAAGCACCCCAAATGCGTTTATAAGTATAGAAATTGACCTTTTTTACCTGAGTTGGCGCTATCAACCTATATTTTGAATGAACACCCTTGCTAAGCCTTGAAGGATGACTGGGTGAACTCGTCTTCGTCTGCTTGTCAGCCATTATGATAATGGTTTATTGGTGGTAAAATATTATTAGTAAGATGGTTTGCACGGATCGGTACGAAGGACTTCATTTTGGCTGTTCATTCTTTCTGCGCAGCTAAGATGCAGTCGTAATAAGCCACACTTAAAGTAACCTTTTAAGTACTCCATGAGCCCCTACACTTTGGGGTATTTCTTAGTTAAAAGTACAACTGGTGGAAATTTTATTTGCACGCACATTTCTTCGGAATGTGTAATCTAATTTACCATTTTAGTTTTCCATCAAAATAAACACATTTTGATCGATGCATTTATTAAGCAAAACGTGTTTTTATAGAAGATTAACTCCAAAAGCCTGTTTGTGCAATTGAACTTCTATAAATATGTTTTTTTAAATACTTTACTGTTTTTATAACTTTCCTTTTTTGGGTTAACTTTTTAAATAGCGTCTAAATACAGTTGAAAGTATTTAGGCGAGCTTTTTTATGTTCACTAGCATGGTTTTTGTTATTACAGCTTTAGTTGCTTTACTAATGCTTTAGTTGTGGTTTGTTTTGATATTTTTAATGATTAATTCCCTCATAGTTTCAGAGGTGATTATTGGATCGGTTAGTTCGGAATAAGTGCACAGAGAGGGAAAAAAATCCTGGTGCCTATTTAAGTATGAACATATTAGAGTTCGATTTCATGTACAAAATTCATTTCAAAGCTGCCGCCAAGAAGAACTCAAATAATCACGAGCCAATAAAGAACTTATGGCTGTATGTTGGTGTTGGTGCTGGAGTACTTGGGTTGGCACTGCTGGTCTTGTTGATATATTCGTACCGTAAGAGGCGAAAAGCTAAGAAGGGTAAGTATTTAGCTCAAATTTAGTTCTAAAATAAATTAATCGTGTTTTTTAATGTTTAAATTAATGATGTTCCAATAATATTACTCGGATACCCATCTATTTCGCCTCTTTTAACTCAATACCTATAACTATTGATTTTCAGATAACTGGTATATTCATCACACAAGGTAAAAGGAACCACGGACAATCGTTTGTCTACTTTATTTACTTGCCCTTTGTTGTTTTTTATGTTGTATTCATATTTTCAGCGCACAAACAATTATCCTCGGATGACAATGAAGTACCTACTATGCTTATTCTCTTGTTGGATTGTATTCCATCGATCAATTTGCACTATGATGTTTTTGGAAACAGAACTGATAGACCTGCTGTAAAAAGTTTACTCATTTTCGGTGGACATATCACGATCGCATCATTATCTTACAATAATTTCTTGTTCATTATTAATTATGTTCTTTTGTTCATAAAGATGACGATCGAGTAACATTGACTTAATCGTGGGAAAACATAATGGGCTGCTTCTATTACATGATTTTGAGTTTACGAGAAGTAATTAGCCCTGACTCAACGTATTTATGATATTTTTTTCCAGTTTCAATGCTTTTACAATGGAAAGCAACATGCTTGAAGGTGCTTCAGTCAATAGTCATTTGCTCCAAGCAGATACACAGTCTGGTACCATCAAGAAGCAGTCAATGGTGGGAAGCCCTCGCTACCAAATGGATCCTGAATGGTTTATTCCACGAGAAAAAATATGTATCGTAAAGGTATTTGGGTTATTCATTTCAAATCTTATTCATGTGACTTCCATTTTAGATTCTATAAACAAACTCAAACATTGGTTGGTGATGAATTATTCATGTTAAAGTTAACACTCATCAGTGAATTTGAAAATAATATTCACGCGAGCAAGGTCGTCTTGGACAATAAGGCATGCCTTTTTGTTCATGTACGTATGATCAATAGGACAACATAATCCACCTGGACATCTATCCAGCATTTACCCATCCATTAATCATGACCATTTTTTTGCATTCTTTTATCTGTTCACTCCTTTATTTGTTTATTCCTCTTTGTATGATTGATTTTTTTTGGTATTTTCTTTTCTGTTGGCAGGTTATTGGTAATGGGGCATTTGGTCTTGTCTACAAAGGACGTGTGCATGGTTTTGGACCAAACACATTGGGGTGGAACCTTGTGGCTATTAAGAGCCCTTATGGTGAGTATACATGCTTCTTATTTCTATCTAAATAACCTAACCAAGAAAAGCGTCAATTGAAACGTTTTTGTTGATCAAATTCAGCTGATGCATCTGATGCGGAAGTGAAAGATTTGATGAAAGAATTTGAGCTCATGAAGACATTGAAGCCACACCCACACGTGATAAAGCTGTTGGGATGCGGGGAAGACGAAGGTGAGATCAGGGACAGTTAACGAAAAGTTTTTTTCACATGATGCATTTTTACTCTTGCTACCAAAATAAACGCCCATAGAATGAGCACTTTGTTATGATGCGCTTATCCCCAAGACTGCCTGATCTGAATATAATTTATTTCATCTTCAACATTAAATCCTTCTAAAGGCAATATATTTTAATGGTTTTCGATAAAGATAGTACATTGTTATTAATTGAAACAACTTCTTAAAAGGCCGCCCATTGGTGATCATTGAGTACGTACCATTTGGCGATCTCTTGGGATATCTGAGAAAGAGCAGAGGAGAGAACGATGACTACTATTCGGATCCAGAAATCAAGCCTAACACAAATTTGACATCACAACAGCTCATTCGTTTTGCCTGGCACACTGCTGATGGCATGGCTTACCTTGCCTCTCAAAAGGTATGCCTTCAGGAACAACCCTAATGTCCCTTCCCCCCACCCCTCCAATCTACTTTCCACAGGGATAGCGAATCCCTTAGCTCGTGCTACAAACCCATTTTTTTCCTTCAAATTTGCCATTTCTAGTTGTGTTTGTTTTCTCACTCTCCTCTTAGTTTGGCTATAGTAACGATGGCATTGCTTTGCATTCTAGATCCTTCATCGTGACCTTGCAGCGCGTAATGTTCTTGTTGGTGATGGACTGTCCTGTAAGGTCACAGACTTTGGAATGGCGAAAGATGTCAGCAACGACGATATCTATATTCGATCGACAGAGGTATTGACCAGATTTTCTTCTGATTTCATCTCACATACACAGTCTTGTCATAGTTATCTTGATGAATAATGCAACAAAAGGAATTCATATTAGACTATTTTTATATGAATATTTTCATGTGAATTTTCATGGTAATTGTCGTAGGGTCGTTTGCCAGTGAAGTGGACAGCCATAGAGGCATTGACCGGTGGAGGAGAGTACACCACACAAAGTGATGTGTAAGTGTAGTTTTGTTATCAAATACAATACAGATGTTTACACAAACTACCTCGTTATATCTGATATGATTGAGCATCATTCTATGGAATCAATTATGCATGATTGTGTCTTTTTCTATACAATGGAAATCCCTTTACAATAAACTTGCCATAACCTTATATATTTATATATGACCGGTCTGTGTAAAATCTTGAAGTCTTATGAACGTTTTGGTTTAGATGGAGTTTTGGAGTTGTCCTATACGAAATCTGCACAATAGGTAAGTACATTTCTCCTTCTTTAATCAATCCGTCGGCAAAAGTTTTTTTTTTGCGTATATATGTATTGGGTTTAAAAAAAAGAGAAAGGTCATTTCTATAAGTAAATATATGTCGTACACAAGTTACAGCGACTTTCATAATTACGCGACTTCGACAAAGTTGGCGCCAGCCCAAGACACGGGTTTTGGCTTCCGTCATTCAAAATCACGAAAAAAAAAATCAGTGTTACTGACGTAAGATAGTTGTTTACTCTAATTTGTGCGATCATAGGTGCTGAGCCGTTCCCAGGGGTTGCTGCTAAGGAAATCCCACTACACATTGTGGAAGGATACCGAATGAAACGACCAGGCCACGTAGATCCTGAACTGTAAGTGAAAAAAAGGAGGGTAGCTATAGGTACTAAGAAACGAAAATAAAATAAAATAAAAGAATATTAAAAAATAGTGAATATAGTGGAAGAATTAAAGAAATAGAGAGGAGAGAAAAGGCGAAGAAACAAATAAATGGATAAGGGAATCTAAGAAAAAAAAAAAAAAGAAGATATATATAGATATAGATATTGTTGTTGTTTTTTATTTATAGGTATGACATAATGATGAGTTGCTGGGAGACAAACCCTGATGACAGACCAACATTCCCAGAGCTGAAGGAAACACTTATGAAGCTGGAGGAAGTCCAGTCAAGGGTGTGTGTTTCATTGCTGTTATTGCTTTTCATTTGTTGTCGCTGGTCAATGTCGGGATAATGTTGATTTTAAGTTATGTATTCTTGAACAACAAAAGTAAATCTCGTATCTTTTTTTTTTTTGGTTATTTTTAGGATTACATTAACCTTAAGGAATGCCGACAGTACCAAAACGTACCCGTCACTCCAAGCACAAGACGAGCAGGAAAACGAGACCTAGGAACGCTAAAGGGATCCGTCAGAGGCAACCCTTATCACATTGGACCAGGAACACAAGGCCAAGTAACCGCTGTCTAAAATGAGTAAAGCTAGGCTTCTCTTGTTCTACTATAGATACCAATTACTCTCTTCTTTGTCCTACGTTATTTGTTTAATTAGTACTTGGGTTATTTCAGCAATGCAGGCTGAGGTCCTGAGTGTAGCTATACAGGCGGGGAATGTCCTCGTCAAATTGAAAAAAAAAAAGTTTTAAAACATCATCATTATGGTCTTATTATAAGATATACAGGAGACCTATTGGTGAGGGGAAAAAACATGGTAAATGGTAAATCATGACTGAGTCGCCATTAAGGCAACAGCTTCTATAACGCATAAAGATATATTCCTGCTCTTTACCGATATATTTGCATTTGAAATAAATTGAAATCATTTGTAGACTGTAAAATGTCTCGTTCCTGAAGAATTCCTTGAAAGTTGTGTTACTGCGATTTCCATAAACATGCGAACTCTGCAGTCTCCGAGCTGCATGCTGAAATATGTAAATCGCAGTAATGCTGTGTGGTGTAGATCTCAATTGATTTTAAATGTGTTACCTATCTACTTACGCACTCGATACACTCACGACTTTCTCTCACACCCACCTACCTATCTTCAATCACTACATGTTATCCTAAAGCCCCGTTTACACTAGCGATTTTTGCGGCGATTTTTTTGCGAATTTGTCCATAATAAATAATGGTAAAGAATTTACTTGTAAATTTTTTTCAGGATACCAAGATTTTCCTAGACGAATGTCTCTTTTGAAGGATGAGACAAAAGATTTTTTATTTCCAAAAATTTCCACAAAAATCGCAGCAAGAATCGCCGAAAAAATCGCCAGTGTAAACGGGGCTTAAGGACGAGAGAAGGGCTGCAGACGTCCAAACAGAGTATAAAAACTCCACAGCCACGCTTGCTGTTCACGCTGAGTTACCTAAATAATAGAATACCTATATACCAATTGGAATAGATAGAGCTCAATCTTCAAACAATATTTGCTCGTGAAGCATCTTTATTATAAAATTCATATATAAAAATTTAGAAAGTTTACTTTAAATTTTGACAATGTCGAAGAAATATATTCGGGATTTATTCATTATTCAAGACACAAGTTTCAGTGGCACGAGTAAAAAGCAGTTCTACTTTTCTTCTTTTATTCAAAACCGAAAGTCTCGAATTCACAAAAGTTTAAATTGCGCCTTGTAGTACACCCGGGGAAACTTGTCTCGCACGCCGTTGCACATAAGTTTTAGCTAAAAGTTTCAACGTGTAAAAGTGTCTTAAGAGATTGCGATACAGTTCACTTTTCATAAAACTATTTTAAGAAAGCATGGATTTATTTTAGAAATTACGATTCAAGAATAACGTATTGCATATTGAATTTTTGAATTATTTACTAAAATATACAGTTTATAAAATATTCAAAGAATTAAGCTGAGGATTTTTGATTTGGATAAAGTGTGTAAATTCAAAGTTTTGCAATACGAGTATCGTCATTTTAATATACTATGCTTCCGACCATTTGCTTGGTGGCGTCATTTTTAGTGCCTGTAATAGGATTGTATTGCTTTTTTATTTCTCGATAAGTATACTAAGACATATATTTGTAAACAGGACGCATCTACGAATTTCCTGCCGATCTTCGGAGCTTGTGCAGTGCGTTTTTCACCCATTTCCTTCAATATGTTTGTCTTGTAATATTGAGCCACAACAACATACATATAGAAACAAACCAATTACCAGATAGACTAACAAACATAACGTATTCGAAAGAAACAAAACGAGAAGTTTGGGGTGGGGGG